GCCACTATGCAAAAGTAAAAATTATCCTGCATATCATACTCTCCTGAGTCTTGATGGTCTAAGAAATATTGAAAACAGCTTCACCAAGTTTTTCTAGATTTATTGGTAATCCTTCATGTATGAGCTGTTCCTTATTAGGAAAGCTATCATTACAGTTTCTTATACAGCCTGGCCTTAGATTATTTAGACTGTATTTAGTTTTCAGAGGTGGTTTACAGGTACAGAAATGTAGGTCCCTACTCTGTTATTCAGAGCTCTGTCTTTCTAGCTGCTGAACACCTCCAACCCTCGGGAACTCAGTAGGCACTCCAGCTGCTAAATTTTTCATAGGACTCGCACCAGTATCTTGGCAAACAAACTTAATACAGAATTTTTGGTTTATAAATGTATAAATGCAAGGCTTTCAATTTAAGCCTATAAACTCTCAAGCCAAGGTAGCTTTAACATTTGATGTATCAGGATTATTAATTAAGTAATACAGAAACCGACCTCTCTGCCCTCTCTTTTAACATATCTTGCTAGCTTGCAGACATGCCAACACATGAACAATGGAATATATCCAACTTTGACCATAAAACATGCATTTTCTTCACTTTGAAATAAAACCTCGTGTAGTCTACCTTCTGGGTCCAATTCTAGTTATATGGTTTTTGTGTGTTCAAGAGTAAAGACCTTTTTCACAAAAACTAACCATCTGTATTTAATGTCTGAGGAATTTTACAACTATTTTTCAGATGGAGACATTTTATTTTTCATGCTCATCATGGTCTAAAGCTTAAATACTTATTCTGCTCCTTTCTCCTATTTGGGCTCCCTGCACCCAGTCTTGTTTCCCAATGATGATAACTTTCCTATGACTGAGTACTACAGACTACACTTGCTCCTGCATTTTCATACCAATTTGGGATCATTTTTGAAAGCTATGCAGTAAAGGCAACATCCAAACTTCTTTTTTCCCTCCAAGACAAAAAATGCAAAACAACTTCTAGGCAGAGTTGCATAAAATGGCATCATTCATTTCACCAAGAATATCACACAGAGGAAGAAAAATAAAAATATTTTTAAAGTAGTTTAGGGGTATTTTAGAGTAAACAGGAAGAGGGACATTTTGTTTATATAATAAAAAAAAAACAGTATCATTCTGCTTAATGAAATTCTGAAGAGCTGTATTTAACAATATTTAATTTTTGGTTTTGTTTTCAAAAAACTATTTGGTTTGGCTTCTATCAGAGATAGGACAAAAACCAAATACAACTAGTCGTAGTAAATACTGTACTTGAGTCAACTACCAAGCAATTACAGTGAAGCCATGAACAACAAGTTAAAATTTTTGACAATTTTCTGGAATTCATAAAAGGCTGCATAACTATTTAAAGCCTGAAGTGTCATTAAAAGAAGGGACTAGTGCTGCTAGAAACATAGTAATCAGAACCTATAAATAACAGCCAGGAAGCAGATGCTAACACTGCCTGCACTGGTCTTCAGAAAATTCATGAACTTGGTAATCGGTTTCTATATTCAGACACAGTGGAAAATAAAGCATTACAAATGAGGAGCACTTCAGAGAAATCTTTAGATGTGAACGGAAACAATTTGAAGAGAAAAAGCTCTGAAGCCATTAATAGCAGAGCTTATCTTAATTACTTCTAAAATACCTACATTTTATTGTACGGCAGGAGCTTAGAAAAGGCTTTTAGCTTTTTTTAACTGGCAAGACCCCGACCAAGATGCTGCTTCTGCCATAAGAAGAGCAGGGCTTCAGAGCAATTTCAGAAGTGGAGCCCACATGCAGATTTGCACTGTGGAGACGCACAGGTCACAGATGCTTGGATTCAGAGATACTGTAGCATAAATAATACTCCTAACTCACAGAGAATGACCTTCAAGATGACCACACAGCACATACAGAGAACCAGTTTTTCCTCCCAAGTCTAGGTATTCTATTGGAAAAGGGAATGGAAGGTGTGACATGAATGTTTGTGAGTTCCAGTGTTTGTGCCCCAGCTACCAGTAAATAACCTCTCATATCCACACTGCAAGCAACACCAGATTATCCAATCAATGTTCCTTTCACACTCTCCAGGCTTTATCTTCATATAAGCAGCCACCAGAAAAAAAAAAAAAAAAAACAACCACGGAGTCATTTTGGAACAGCTCTGAGAATGGTAAAAATGTAAATCAAATCCAGGCCACTGCTTTTATCCATGTCTGGAATGGAGATACTTACTAACTAAGCCTATAAAATATTTCAAACTTGCTTTGAAACTTTGCCATGGACAGCAAAGCCTATCTGACTGATGAGATGAGATACATGTCCAGCAACCCAAGCACCTACAGAAGAAGACTGAACATAGGATGACAAAAATGGATTCCTACAAGACTGGATACAAAGTCATGTCTACCTCAACCAGAATTGCTACTTCCTGTACTTCATAAGACATCCTTCAGCTTCCAGCATTTTCAGATATGTCTCCGGCAGGAATATGATCATAGACAGATCTGTGATGGCGAATGCAGTATTTTTTCTTTCAATCTGTCCCAGCCTTGGAAAAAATACACAAACCTTCTGGAAAACATTGCCAAAAACTTCCTCATTCCTCTGTTATCAGCTTGAAGCAGATGACCTGATCATCTGCTGGTATGTTGTGAGGTTCCAGCTATATAAAATTCCAGAAACTATGTATGCACCAATTTCAGATATATCACCACCCTTCTAGTCCAAACAGGAAATGCTTGAACTGGTAACTGTTCCATTACAGCCCAGTGGAGATATTTTCAAAGGTGACATGAAAATTAGCATCTTCCTGTCCAAGAGACACTAACTGATCCCTGTCCTAAAATGACAAAAGTGCAGTTACCAGTGACATACAATTTCACTTGTGAATAAAAGGGTTTTTTTTCCACTTCTGGAATTCTAGATGGTCTCATCCTTGGTCCCACACAGGAAACACAGGAAAAGCAGACAAGCTGTTGCTGAAACATCCTCCTTTAAGCAACAGGCGATTTACTCTAAAGCCCCAACATCAACCAGGGAGAAGGCTACAGCTGCAGTTGTCTCTCCTGTGTAGAATGTGAGGTGCTGGAGGCAAATATATGAAACTGGATACTGAAACAGAAGGGATAGAAGGGATTCTATCCTTAGAACAGATAAAGACTTCTCACACATTCTCCTGTCTATGCTACCTATGCATAGCTGACCAGGTGGAATAATCAGAAATGGCCAACAGATTACAGGTATGGAAATGCCACTTCCTTCTCTGAAGTTCTTCAAGAGAGATTCGTTCTAAAAGGGGAGCAGAATGGATTATATGGCTGCTTCTTTTTATGTGTTTCTTGAGGAATTATTTGCTTCTGTCAGGAAGCTAGCAGTTAATTCCTTTCGTAAGAAAAACCTTTTCCACCCAACTACAGTTCTAAATAGCAGGAGACGTTTTGCAATTGCTGCTGTGATCATTGACAGAGCAGCTGTATTAGTGATACATAAGCCACCTGCAGGAAGCTGTTCACACCAGCAGCTGTCTCTCACCAAGGATGATAACGTGCCAAGAACAGATGTGAATGAAACCCCGAGACTCAGGCCAAACTAAAAAAGCAGAGCTCGTACATGACAGCCAATACTTGGTAACAGCCTGTTCTTAATTTAGTAATAGTCAAGGAAAAGCAGCCTCTTCCTAGATTCTCATCTTGCATTTTCCTGGGTCACAGAAAGCTACTTTAAAGTTACTCCTACCATAGTGGGTGTCACAAGGAATTAACTCATTTCTAGCCATGTAAGAATGTTTTCTAGTCACAGGCAGAATTGCAATGAGACTATCAACCTGGAGAAGAAAGCTATAATCTGTGGCCATTGCTTTCAACTCTGTTGAAGTGGAATGTCTCTAAATTCTACACAGGTCTAGACAGTCACCATTTTTAGGTTCATACTGTTTGCTGAAATTACTGTTAGTTCAAGTCTTCTCTCAGAAAAGCAGGATTTCCAAGAAAGAATAAAACAAATTCAGAAATAACAGAAACAAAATTTGTTTCTCTAAGTCACAAAGTCTGCATTTGAGCTTAAAGCAATATACTTTCTATATATTGCTACACGCTGAAAAAATTCTAAATGTGATTCAAAAAAACCCAGATTAACAAAGGACTGTACTGCACTGAGGTCGTGGCATTGAAGTAGCACAGTGCACTGTGGGCATTAAAGTTACTGAATTTCAGAAACCTTTGAAAAATATGACTGATGACCACCAGAAAAAACAGCAAGAAGCTGACTTTGTGGTGTGAATGACAGTTCTTGGCACACTAAGTTCCACTGTGAAAGAACAGTTAGACAGTAATTCCTTGGAATTGCCTGAATTCTATTCAATACGAAATAAAACTCACCAAGTACTTACAGAAGGTAACTACTTACAAAACTAAGAAAACTTCTGAGCATTCCAAAGACTGAACAAACTCAATTTCTTACACTTAAAAAACTTTTAAAAAGTTTAACTTAAGAAGTAGAAGAGACCGACTAATTTTGCTCCTTATGTTACAGCTTCAAAACTTTTTAAAAAGGCATTAAGAATATCACTATAAGAAAAGGTACTGGCAAAGTATGATCTTCTTAGTCTTAGAGCATTAATATCTGTGGCACTTAGGAGAGATGATCACTGGTGCACGTTCTTGCAAAGCATCTTGTTTTAACTGCAATTGTGAAACACCACTGTGTAACAGCATACAATCTGAAACACCAAATAACTGTTTCTGATCTCATAAAAACAACTGCAAAATAATTTACACGAATTAGAGTATTTCTTAATGTGAAAATAAGCACTTCTACGATCTTCATTATAACAATCGTTATCATGCCACAGAGAACACACCACATTTCAATTATAATTTTAAATTATTCAAGTTACATTACAAATAACAATTTATGCACTGATACAGAAAAGTTTTCTAGACCTCTTTTTGACCGTTTGCCATAAAAAAGCTAAACATTTTGAACCAGAACTAATGCATGCTCTCACCTTCCGTGGAAGTCTGGAATTCTCAAGGATCTTTGCAATGGCAGATAAAATACCGCACATGAGAGCAGAGATCAGCATCATCACTCCAACTGCTGTTAGCCAGGACATACTGCAGAAATAGCACAAACTTTCTGTCGATGTGCATACAATGACGTGAACTGCACACAGCGTCAAACACATCAAGTAAAACAGCAGAGAGAACAGTGGAGGGGAGAGAGGCACTTCAAATTCTGCCCGGCTGCTCAGGGCTTTCGGAACGTGGAGCAAAAGCAGCAGCAGAACCTGGAAAATATACAGAATTAATACTTCAAGAATTGATGTTAACTAAAACATACAAAATTCATACAGAAAATGATAAAGTTGTCATCCATGTCATTCTGCTAGTAAGCATACTTCATAAAAAAAAAAAAAATACACTGGATTTTTTGTCCCAGTAAGATATCACCAAAGATCGTGTTTTTATTTATTAATGGTTTGGACAGACAAATTACCACAGTTTAATAGATTACCATGCACCTCCTCAGCTGTAGTAACTGATCACATGCATGATCTTATTCCCTGGAAAGTAAGAGCTTTAACTCCCAATATCAGAACAGTTTCTAGGCAAGAAATTTGACCTATTATTCGTCACCTGTAAATGCCTAAATTCACACACACCCTCTGCCAAAGGCAATTTAGCTCACAACGTGTGAGATACACAGAGATCCTGCTGAGTTAAATATCTTCAAAGACAAGGGAAAATTCTCATACTAGCACACAAGTGCATGCTGCATTTCAAGTTTACAAATTCTCCTCTCCTCATCTTAACTTGGTTTATTGGTTTAACTTTTGCTTTGCTCTAACCTGCACACAAATCAGACAGAGTTCCAAGTTTCTTCTCAGGTAACTGTAGCAGTGGAGATGAATAATAACATGAAAAATTTCTGCTACCCATGCAAAAATCTTTATTTGTAAAGAGAAAATTCGGCCACACACTAAAATGCTTTTCAAGGGGCACAGACTGAACTAGGACTAGACTGAGTTCTATTAGCTTGTGCCAGGGCAAAATTAAAACAAATAAAGATAAAACCCAACTATATATGACCACTGCCAGCTTGTAATCTTTCATATCACTGTGAAGACCTCTGCCTAAATTTTTTTCCACAATACAGTGAGGTAAAGTAGCAAAAAAAAAAAAAAAATCTGTGCATTGCAGTAATCTCCCTTCTTTTTCATATTCTACTTCACACAGTTCACTTTGTTATGAAAATATAAGGCTTCACAGTATCAAACTGGCTTGGGTCTTACCTTTTAACACAGCACTAACAGTTAAAACAAAGACAGGACTCAAGATAGGAAAACATTCTAACTGTAGTTATCTACAAATCTAAATTTAGCTCTTTTGAGCAAATGCACTGTTATCAATTCATGTCCCAGAGGTACTCTCCTCCTCTGAAATACAGGATGAAATACAGGCATTTATACCACGGTGTAGTTTGACTGTGAGATTCCTTACCCTTACTTATTTAGCAAGGCTGGAAATACATATCAAAACAAAAAGATTTTGGAAAGCAAGGCATTGTCCTGAGTACCGCATTGGAGGAAAGAAAAAACTCCTGGCAGTTTAAGCACCAGCTTAAACCAACCTTTACACAGACACTGAACAAGCTCTTCTCAACCAAAATTTGCATGGTTAGTAGTTGTATGTTTCTTTTGATGAAGGCCCATTGAGTGAAACACCTGAGATCTGTTTTGTAGTAACAGTAGGCACCTATAACTGCATTCCAGAAAAAAAAAAAAAAGAAATCCAACGCTTCAGGTTCAAAGTAACTCTCAAGAGCTCGAATGCATAAGTTCCCAAAACAAAGGCACAAGAAAAGAAATATAAGCACTTCAGCTTTGCACCGAGCTTTTCCCACCTCCAGATTTGCCATCTGTAGTGCAGGAACAGAACCTACCATCTCATTTCCCAAGGGCACTGCAGAACTAGTTCCTGTGAACTGGTCAGCAGAGCGATAAACCCTACCGAGCAGTCTACCAGAAACCCATTTGAGATGCACTCTGTACCCAGAGAACAGCGCCTATGAGGCAAGGCATAGAGCTCCACCAGTCAACAGGAGACCCACGTACCCAGCAGCTGCTCACATACTGTCACACCCCCCCCAGGCACTGGGCGGGCGCAGTGTCACAGCAGCCACACAGCCGTGAACAGCATCGCCACCACGCAAGGACTGAACCGAGCTTGTGGTGGGTATACAGGGCAGTGGGACTTTCTTTAAGGACTGTGACCTGTTACAGGGGGACAAAATACACAAGACAAAATGTCTTGAAGAGGCAAGAGAATCTTTGGCAGCAGGTTGGACAGCTTGGTGAGCTGGGCTTTAAACTGAAGGACTTTGGGGGCAGTGCTCATGCCATCCCATCCAACTGGGGAATACGCCAGGCCAACCAGAGCTGTGATATACGTTCCATAGCTGCCTCCCAAGAGGAGAGCCAGAAGGCCTGCCACCTCAAAGGTGTTGGATGTGGTGGATGCTTTTGCACCCCTCCAGGGAAACCTTCTTGCTCAATTAACCCTCTGAAATGCCGGAGCACCAATGCACACAGCACAGGGAACAAACAAGAGGAATCAGAGATCTGAGTGTGATCGCAGAGCCCTGATCTCATTGCAGTTACAGAGACATGGGGGGATAGTTTCCATGACTGCAATGCTGTCACGGATGGCTCCGGACTTTTTAGGAAAGACAAGGAAAAACCTCTTTATGTGAGAGAGCAGCCGGAACGTATTGAGCTCTGCCTGGGGACTGATGAAGAATGCGTTGGAAGCTTATGGGTGAGAATCAAGAGGCAGGATAATATGGGAGGCACTGTTGTGGATGTTACTACAAGCCACCTGCTCAGGAAGAGGAACTTGATGAGCCCTTCTACAGACAGCCAAAAGTAGTAGCCTCATGATCACATGTCCTGGTTCTCTTTGGGGACTTCAGTCACCCTGGTATTTGCTGAAAAGGCAACACAGCCAGACACACACAAACCAGGAGATTCCTGCAGCGCACTGATGATAACTTTCTGACACAGGTGGTGGAGGAGCCAATGAAGAGAGGTGTGCTGCTGGACCTTGTACTAACAAACAAAGAAGGTCTGGTTGGGGATGTGAAGGTTGGGGGCAGCCTTGGCTGCAGTGATCATGAGATGTTGGAGTCCAAGATCATGCAAGGAAGAAGCAGGGCTTCTTGCAACCATGGACGTCATGAGGGCTAACTCTGACCTCTTCAAAAACCTATGTGGAGGAGCCCCATTGTTTAGAGCTCTAGAGAGGGCGGTGGGGAAGCAAACAAAACTAGTTAATGTTCAAGCACCTCTTCCTCTGAGCTCAAGATCGATGCATCCCTATGAATAAGAAAACAGGGAAAAGAAGGAGGAAACCTGCATTGATGAGCAAGGAGCTGATGGAAAAACTCAAATAGAAGAAGAAAGTTTACAGAACGTGTCAAAAGGGAGGAACAGTCACTTGGTAGCAATACAGGAATGTTGTCAGAATGTGTAGGGGTGCAAGACGGAAGGCTCAGGCCCACTTGGAATTAAATCTGGCAAGGGACATCAAGGACAACAAGGAGGGCTACTTCAAGTACTCCAGTAGGAAAAGGAAGACTAAGGAAAATGTGGGCTCGCTACTGAATACGGTGGTTGCCTTGGTGACAGAGGATACAGACAAGGTGAAGTTACTGAATACCTTCTTTGCTTCAGTGTTTACTGCTAAGACCAGCCCTCAGGAATCCCAGTCCCTGGAGGTAAGAGAGAAAGTCTGGATGAAGGGATGGAGCATACCCTCAGCAAGTTTGCCAACACTAAAAATGGGAGGAGGGGCTGACACACTAGAAGGCTGCGCTGCCATTCAGAGAGACCTGGACAGGCTGGAGAGCTGGGCAGAGAGGAACCTAATTAAATTCAACAAAGGCAGGAATAACCCCATGCACCAGTATAGTTTAGGGGCTGACCTGTTGGAAAGCAGCTCCAAGGAGAAGGACCAGAGAGTCTTGGTGGAGAACAAGTTTACTATGAGCCAGCAATGCACCCTTGTGGCCGAGAAGGCCAGTGGTATTCTAGCATGCATTAAGAAAAGTGTGGCAAGCAGGTTGAAGGCAGTTACCCTCCCCCTCTACTCTGTCCTAGTAAGGTCACATCTGGATTCCTGTGTCCAGTTGTGGGCTCCCCAGCTCAAGAGAGACAGGGAACCACTGGAGAGAGATGGCTACAAAGACGATCAAGGGACTGGAACATCCTTCTTAAAAGGAAAGGCTAAGAGACCTGTGACTGTTTAGCTTGAGGAAGAGAAGATTGAGAGAGGATCTTATCAATGCTTACAAGTACCTAAAGGGCAGGGGTCAAGAGGATGGGGCCTATCTCTTTACAGTGGTGCCCAGTGAGAGGACACAACGGACACAAACTGGAACACAGGCAGTTCCACCTGAACAGAAGGAAAAACTTCTTTACTGTGAGGATGATGGAGCACTCGAACAAGCTGTCCAGAGCACTTGTGGAGTACCCTTTTCTGGAGGTACACAAAACCAGCCTGGACATGGTTCTGTGCAACCTGACCTAGGCAAACCTGCTTTAGCAGGGGAGTTTGGCTAGGTGATCTCCATCCCGTGATGCCGCGATTCTGTGACTCCCACCCTTGGGAATAATGCTTATTCTTAAAAAAGCTGACACACATGTCATTTAAAAGGTCAGAGCAAGCTTCTACACATAAAAGTTCAGTGCCCAAGCACTGCATCCATTCAGCACAGCTCTCAAAGTATTACCACAGAAAATATTTCCAGCATTTGAGATTTGCCCAATATAGCAATTGCAGAAACCACTTAAAATCCCAGACATGGGTTATCTTATCTAACTGCGTGAGATATGCAGTGGTAATCCAGCACCTTACAGCAAGTGTTTATTTCTGGGCTCCACACTCCAAAGAACAGTTCTTGGAATTGTGAAAATTGTCCATACATGGTATGGCCTGTTCTGAGCAGCTGTGCTGTTAGAGAAAGAGGAAGAGGTAGGAACCTACTTCACAGACTTTTTGGATTGTTCACGTTTGTTTGTTTTTTTAATGCAGTAAGGCTACTCAAAATGTAGAAAGCTAACTAATATGGGAATAATTGAAGCTGCATATTTATTGTAACTAGATAAATGAAAACATCAGTATCTTATATCAAAAGTTCTCTTGAATCATTTTAAAGGCCAAGTTATACTTTACAGAGAGTATTAACAGCATCCAGACAGAAAGTCAGACAACTCTACTTGGTAATTCTAAAGACCAGTAAGAGTATGCACTAAAAAAATCAAAATTCAGAAACTTTTATGTTTGTGCTCTTAGTTTCATACCTCCATAATGATCACAGTCCCCACCATCATCGAATACATGTCATATTGTGCCACTTGTTTGCTTAGTGAAGAACTGAGAGTCTTCAGGGCCTCCAAATATTGCTTCAGGACCTTTCTGCCAATATTTAAGAGTATTTCTGAATTATTCCCCTCTAAATACAATTTGATCCAATTACCATGGGACTTCTCTGCTATCTTAAAATGTTCATATCCAGGATCTAAGGATGGGAGGGGAGAAAAAAAAAAAAAGAAAAAGAAAATAGGTAAGAGGATCCAAGAACAAAGGAGGATTAGAGATATGATCACATTTTTACATTTGCTTGTATAGTACTGAAAAAAAAAAAAAAAATTGCTATGGGGGTTGAAACTTTTCTATACCTAGAAAGTTACATTATCTTCTTGCAGCAAGACAATAATGAGCCAGTTGCTCAGAATAAAAGCAATTAATCCCTAACCTAGCAAAATGTCAAGACCTCTAAAAGTGACAAATGTATTACAATATCCATTTACTCTTACAAAAGGTTTCCAGGACAAATCTATTCAAATGCTTTAAATCCTGAAAAGAGTCATGTTTTCCACTGAAGCCACTCATTATCCAGGCCATATTATACAAGCCAAGTGGGAAATGACAAAATAGCTCATCTCTGGAGGAAATGCCAAAGACACATAATATTAAGGACCTCAATTTTTCTGTAAAGCCAGAAGGAGTCTGTTGGTAACACAAAGGTAAACGCACAGGATGAGAGATTTTAAGCAGTAATAGAAAAGTTAACAGCCAAAATGTAGTTCAGCTTCAGGCATGTGGATGATGAACCTGGTGTAAAATAATCCTCAGCAGTGAAACTTAGTAATTCTGTTACAGTGTAAGGATGGCCACAGTCCAACCTGATTAAAGAAGAGAAAACCCTTGATGCTGCCATCAACCTAAGGAAACAAGACAAGTGGCCAAAGGTGATTTCATGATGACTTATCTACATATAAAAAAAATTACCCGATGAAAAATTTAAAAAAAAAAAAAAAGGCACAAAAAAACCCCCACACCACAACCAACTACAACCCAAAAATGATGATCCTGCTATGCAGGATGCTTGCAAGTGTCTGCCAAAAAGTAAAATTTAGCCAGCTGCAAATACTTGTCTATCAAGGTAGCTGCCAGTGCACATGGAGACTTTTAATTTCCCTACTATAGTTCCTTGACCAGTGAATTCCCTACAAAGTTTCTCTTCCACTATATTTGAAATAAGTGTTAAACATTCATACTTCTGAGGAAATCCAGAAAGGATCATCTAAAAAGAGCTTAAATCAAACTGAGATTTGACATGACACTATTTCATTAAACAGGATTGAAATGAGCTCATTTTGAAATCTAAATAAATTCTCCCCACACCTTCTGCTCCTGTTCTGCCCCTTTTTCATGCTTTTTGCTGTCTCCTTCATTCCTGACCACAGTTACCAAATTTTCTGTAAGAACTCAAATTGTACCTGTTCAATGGCACATTTGTATACATAAAGTTTAAAATTAGAAGGGTTACAGATTTGGAGTTGCTGAAGACGCATTTTGGTAACTGGTGGGTAACATCTGCAAGTCACTCCTACATGGGATACGATACGCACAAGGAAAGTTAAACCTGAGGCAAAATCCAAAGGAGTTTGCTCAGTTACAGCTGTCCCAAAACACTGGCAGTGGTTTACCTGAACACTGTTACACTAGCAATTGCTCCTTCAGCCTCCCCACAGCCTTAACACAAGCACATGGCTGCACTTTCCAAGGATCTATTTGGTAACAATTTCACTTAGTTCCAGCCACAGCCACCAATCATTTAAAAAAATAAAATTATAAGAAAAGTACGGATAATGTAAAAGTGACTTCTCCACCTTCAGTATATAAATCTCACAATAAATAAATCTTATTTCAACCAACACATGTAAATAATACAAGTTCAGGGTTAGTTCCAAATTGAAAAGTGGACACTCATTCTAATAACAACATCCAATTTGCTCTCAAGTATGGCTCTTCATAGCACCATGATGTGCCTTTCAAAGAAGTAATCCTAGTTCATCATTCAGATGCATGTTCAGAGCATGAGGGAAGGATTACTAGACACCTACATCTGTCTATCACACAGAAACCCAAGATATGTTTCTACATAATTTTCCTTTCAGCTTCTTCATTTTTGTCAGCTCCTCTTTTTTTTAGTTGCATGTCCATGTCTATCAAAAGAAAACCTAATGCCCCATGTTAGCATTTAGTAGTATGTTCCAAAAAGTAACCTTCAAAATAGTGAAGCCTTTAGCTGAGCTTCAAGTTTCTCATTTAAAATTTAACTCCCCTGACAACAGGTTTAACCGTGAAGATCAAACATTTAAATAAAAACCAAAGTCTGAAACGCTGTTAAGTGCCTCTAGGTTTGAAAATGCCTTTTTGTATGAACAAACACTGGGAGTGGATGGTGGAGGAAAACTTACTGAGCTGCCTCCATTTTGCTCTTTATTAACAGATATACTTGAAACACACTTGAAGATATTTTTGTGTACTGTTCCAGTTTGTTCTTAACACTGGACTGGCTAAATCCAGGGAACTCCATTGCTTGTTAATAAAACACCATGTAAAGGTCACTGTGCCTTCCCATCTGACAGTGATTCATCTCAATCAACACCTGACTGCATCTTTTTGCATAAAAAAGGAAACTTACATTGCACCAAACATACATTATGCTATAGCTTACAATGGGTGAATCTTTTCTTACCATGATTCAGTCACCATATTCAAGGTACTAATAGCTGGTGCCCTGTCTCTGTGCTGCAAATTACAATTGTCTTTCACTTTTAACTGAAGCTCCAGTCATGCACGTTACTCTGAGCATTCAATTGAAATGTTATGATCCACCAGCTGTTACTAGCTGATAATCTGTACTGGAAAGCTCGAACCAGCAGCAGAAAATGTGAGCAAGATGTCTGGATGGGTTATCTTCTGAGGTATCTTTCCCTCAAAAAACCTGGCAGCACACCTTATGTGTGGAATTCCAAAATGGTAGGCCCAAGACTTGTCAGCACAACTGTGATGAGTGTCTGGATGGTCCACAAATGAAAAGCAAAGGTTCAGAGCAGGGAGAGCTAGAGCAGATTGCTCAGAACCGTGTCTAGTCTGGTCTCAAGGTATGGGGACCCAAACCCTCTCTGGGCAACTCATTCCAGCATTTTACGACTCTTAGATTAAAAAAAAAAAACTAATTCTTTCATTTCAAGAAAACTTCCTGTATGTCAGTGTTTATGCTCTTACCTATACACTAGGCACCACCAAACAGACTCTGGTTCAATCTCCTTTATTCCCTCCCACCATATATAACCTACATTGATAAGGTCCCTGCTGAGTCTTCTCCTATCCAAGCTGGACAGTCCTAGCACCCCTCAGCCCCTCCTTTCGCTACCATTCACTGCACTCGCATCATTCTATCCATGCCTTCTTTGCACTGGGAAGTCCTGAACGGGACGCAGGAACTTCAGATGAGGTCTCTCCACAGCTGAGGAAAGAGGAAGGATTGACCCGCTGATTGTCCTCGTCATGCAGCCCTGGATGCTGTTGGCCTCCCTTCTACAGGGGTGTACTGCTGGCTGATGTTCAACTTGGGACCCCCAAGGACCCCTTGTCCTTCTCCACCAAGCTGCTTTCCAGCCAGTCAGTACCTGATCTCCACTGGTGCCTGCAAGTACTTCTTCCTAAATATAGGATTTGACATTTCCCTTTGCTGAATCTTAAGAGGTTCCTGTCAGCCCAGTTCTCCAGCCTATCAAGGTTTCTCTGAATGGCAGCACACCCACCAACTGATTCAGCCACTCCTCCCAGTTTTGTGTTGTGCACAGACTTTCTCAGGGGGGCACTCTGTCCTATCACTCAGGTCATTAGTGAAGATGTTAAACAGTATCAGCCCATGTCAAGGTCTGGTACTGGTCACTAGTGACTGGCCTCCAGGTGGACTTTGTGCAGCTGATCACAACCATGTGAGCCCAGCAGCTGAGCCACTTTTCAGTACACCTCACTGTCCAGTTATCTAGCCTGAACTGCACTAGCATGGTTGAAACACCATTATGAGCACCACGGATCATGAACACGGGGCTTCCTCAAATTACCTGAAGATCTACTAACTCCTCCCAATCAGCTTGTTCTTGAGCAAACATGCATAACAATACTGCCCATGTTGATCTACCCACTAATCCTGACCTGGAAGATGTTTCATCATCCACCCCCAGACAGAGGTCCGTGCACTGTCACTGCTCTTTCACATAAAAGGCAACTCTCTCTCCTCACCTTCCCAACTTACAATCACAGTATCACAGAATGGTTCCAGTTGGAAGAGAATGCACCCTTAAAAGCCATCTAGCCCACCCCTACCTACCACGGGCATAGGCATTTTTCACTAGATCACCACTCATTACTCATTTCCACATGGACAATAGCCGTTGACTATAACTCTTTGGACATGGCTGTTCAGACAATTTCTAAGAGTCCATTCATCAATAGCAGCAAAAGTGTTGGGGAAGGCTGTATCAAAAGCCTTCCCGAAGTCTTGGTAGATGACATTCATAACTTTTTTTATGTCCACTGATGCAGTTACTCCATCACAGAAGGCCACTAGATTAGTCAGGCACAATTTGCCCTTAACGAAGCAATGTTGGCTGTCTCCAATTACCTCCCTGTCTTCCAGATGTTTTGACATGTCTTCCACCCAGGAGGACCTGTTCCTATCTTACCAGATAGCAAGAGGCAAGGCTGACTGATCAGTAGTTCCCAGAGTCCTCCATTTTACCTTTTTTAAAAATGTGCATCCTCCTTGAAGATGAATCTGATTACTGAATATAAGTAAGACAATCGCTTTCATACCAGGATCACAACATATACAAATGCGTGTGTATGGGCCTGTAGTGAGACAGGTGGGATGTTATTTATCTTCATTTAGAAGCCACCCAAAAGAAAGGGCCACTCATGCATACTTTTAAACTACATGCAGCATTACTCACTGACTTAGTGACATCTTTAGTACTTCTAGGGCCTGAAGTATCAACATCAATGGACATGAGACAAGCAGCACATCTCTCTTCCCTGCCAATCTTAACCATCCTGACCAAAGTGTTAAGCTACAGCCTTGCACATCTAGGACACTCTAAGATATACAAGACCCTGTAACAAGTTTACAGCAACAAGAAGAATTCACCTTAAGACTGTAAAAATAGCTTGCAAAGCATGGGAAAAAATCCATTACTTGGATCTAGTTCCATGTTACTAAGATTCTCTGTTACTGAAAGAAGCGAAGGTCATCAGGGATGCTTTACTCCCAACCCCTTTCCAGGAGGATAGCATGTCTAATAACAATTTCTGGTCACAAGCAAGTAGCATAAAAAATTCTCACATTTCCTTCCTCAGCAATTTTGATTTTATTTCTCAGATGAAAGCTACAAGTTGAAAACAAGCTGTTCTCAGACAAAAAAAAAACAACAGTGAAGATACAAACTAGAAGCTAGTAGAAACTTCGGTCTGTTTCACCAGTTCTAGCAGGAATGCCATCAGATGGAGCTTTATGTTGGGATTTTCAGTTACACAGACATATCCTGAACTCCACCAAGAAGGCAAGTTTCCTCACTTGACACAAATGGGCTAAGTGAGGAAGTCTGTCCAGAGAAAATATCAGAATAGACAGAGCAGGGCTTCTGCTATTGACATGTTGCTACCATAAGCCACATTTGTTCTGCTAGACTCCTGGACAGGGTTTAATTATGATTAGAAGCTCTGATGTTGAAAGATAATTAATTCTTGACCTACAGCGATCATCTTGCTAAACTTTACATTGTTATCCACTTTAATTATTCATAGCTGTAACTCAGCCCTGCATTCTCATCCAGTTATTTTAATAATTCAACAGATTATAAATCAAGCGACAAGGACTTCAAGCTTCACAGTCACTTTAAGACAACACCATCTTCTAATGCCCATGGCAAAATATTCTCCTTCACCCTCAATTCTTTTCATATAGTTATCACATTAATTTGTGTATAATGCTTCCTAATGAAACATTACATTTTGCTAGGTTTGTTTTATTTTTTCCACTTGTTTTTTATTCTTTCCTTCAAATACACACACATGTATATATGGACATGTGTGTTATTAATAAGCAATTTTGCAATTGTCTCGGTTCTCACTCCAAGTAAATTCATACACAAGAATGGAATAACTTACCCTAAACTATCTCCCAACTTTTATTTCTTTTATTTAAACTAGAAAATCCACTCCATTGTGCTATTCCTCCACGTAGCTCAAAATCAGTGCCCCATGTAGGATACCTCACAAACAGCAGATATGAACCACTGAGACATTTAACTACAGTTAAATCAGTTTTACTGTTTCATCATTATTTCCACTCCTTTGCCTAACAGAAGTAGTACTAGTCATTAAAAAAAACTTTACTGAGAGGTCGTGTGACAGAGTAGGTGACATTAAAAACTGAACTCAGTATAATTTCTCTGAACACTGCTCCCAGGAGAATGGTTTATTTGTGGTGCTATGCTATGCTCTCGGATGTAAAAGCTCAAACTGTGTTACAAACAATCTCCTTTCGTCTACATAACTTTTTTTTAGCTGATTTACCTTTTTCATATGCAGGTGTATTCTCTTGCAGCAGTCTGCTAAGCTGGAACCCATTCAAGTGCATAAAACGTAGTTGTTCTCTCATTGTCTTGCCTCCCACAACGGGCAATATAAGGTTCCCAACACTGTTTCTTGAAATTGGTAGACCAAGACCTACTGCCAGTGTGCTTGCTAAATCAGTTTGTTGCACAAGTTCAGGTTGGGTTAGAGGACCTAGAATCAAAAAAAAAAAAAAAAAAAAAAAAAAAAAAAAAAAAAAAAAAAAAAAAAAAGAAAAAGAAAAGAAAAAGAGAGAAGGAAAAAGCAATGTATTTCAATAACAGGTCCACTCTATTTTTCCAGAGACAGTTGCCATCTTGTTAGTTTTAAATTTTTTTTCATTGGTGTTAGATCAGCTGTTTCAAGTGACCCACAGAGAGCTGAGTTATCTTTTCTAGCTGTAGTAAACCCAAAATTTATTCAGTTCTCAGCAAGTACTGTTCTCCAGTGCTAGCAACTACTGTAAACACAGCACAAATGTGATACAAGCACAAGAAAGAAAAGAGATGGTTCAGGAGATCATCTTAATATCAAGCTGCAGCCTACATCCTAGGAGGGTTTGTTAACCTCTACATCAGAGAGAACAGAAAGCACTACAGTAGACTAATTTAATGCATGAGCAAAGAATGAGAATCTAAAATAACAATAACAGCATTCTAGAAGCTACTCGATATAATGACAACAGCTCAAGTTTTAATTAATACCAGGTTGCTAGGCAAACAGAATTAGAGATCATGTAAAAAATGTTGAGGCCGAAATCCATGGCTCCATGCAGGCAAACCCGCTGACTTTTAAAGGGTTCTCTGCAGGACCCCATTACCCTATTGTGGTTGTCAGCACTAGGCTTCAGTTCCACAGACATCTAGATGCAGGAATAATTTCGCTAACATAAGTAACCTTTTGTTCAAGATGGTCTTCCCAATTGTTTCTTTGTGAGCTTTACTAGTTATGTAACAGTGTTTTTTTCTCATGCTTTCACTTCGCTCTTTGTAAATCCAGGCATTGAGAGTTTTGACTTAAGTACAGTACAGGAAGAACTCTAATACATTCTTTATTACTCTAAAGGCTCCCTTTAAGAGCATTTGAACATCTCCCATTTCTCATCTAGCTCTGATTAATCCTGTACTTGTACAGAATGCCATCTATAATCCCTAAAGCCTCTTTGCATGAGTGTTTGTGTGTCAGCAGTTTTCAGATTTCATCTTTAAACCTAAGTTCTTAACTGGTTTAAAAAAGCCCAACTACCAAATGCATTTAGCCAATCGCAGGTGACACATCTTCTGTAGAAGGCTACACAAGTAGTATTCTGACAGCATACTAAATGCAAAAGCCCACAGGATTACTATTTTGAGGTCTACCAAATTAAGCACAGTACATTTAATTTACAGCAGGATCGTAAGGAGCTGTCACTAGAATTCTGATTCCTGCAGCAATGAGAAGCAGGTTGCTGGATATTTACACCATCATTAGAAATCACAAACTCAGTCCCAGAAGACAGGTGAACAGATATATTTCACTGTATTGTAAAAGCTGCACATTCAGTTTAAACCTATTAGAAACTAATCCAAGTGAACAAGAGATTGCATTTACAGAATCTACACTCATGTGGCCTATTTGTCAACACACACCAGCAAAATTTATAAGGTAAAAACTTACCCGAGAGCTTTGGTCAGCTCTTGGCTTTGATTTGGTTTTATATCTGAAAAGAGTTCAATGAATCCTCAAGCAACACTTTCTACTGCAGCTAGATAACAGCTTTATAAATGACAGACAGATAAATGTACTTTCACTTGCAGGAACCTCCAGCAAGACAAACAAGACAAGGTTCTGCAGACAGGCTTTAAAAGCAAGAAAATCAGATGGAAATGATCAAGAGGCAAAATGAAAGGCAGAGGGAAGTATTATTTTGAAGAAAATTTTCAGTGCTGGTATGTTTCATGAATTCACTCAATCAATGATTTTATTTAAGCAAGACACCACAAATTAGACCAAAGATTCCCTATTACACCATTCCTTTCTTGCCTCTTATCTTGTTATATTATAGAAGTAGGACACGAGTTTCAGAAACCGATAAACTCAGTGACTTAAAATTAACTGCCTGGCCAATTAAGTCAATATGCTCATGCTCATATTCCTTCCTTAAGGCTTAGCAATAAACAGTCATGTTATCACTGCTGTCGTCTCTCACCCTTTCACAAGAGCAATTCTTCTTCTTTCCTTTTACTCTCAGCATGAGAAACTGTCATTCATTCCTCTACCCTGGCTGTCTCAGAGGGAGGAATGGAGGCCAGGGAAATATTCTGGCCAAAAAAAACAAAACTCAAAACTCATTTCCAACAGTATTTTACTTCTAATCCTATCCATTTACCCATTTATCCTAGGATCCTGACAACAGCTCTCATTAGCTCTCAACACTGAAGTAGGACAGTGTGGCAAAAGGTTATCATCTGAGAAATAGCCAATTCTCTCAGTGGTTACAAAGCTTAAGTCATGGTTTCTCCATGACACTAATGCAAACCCTGACTAAAACCAGAGTTTTAAGTCACACAAAATGGGCCTTGCCAGATATCTGTAGAACCAAAGCATTTTTTCACGAACAGATCTAGAGCTAATATGAATTGGAGATGGCAATGTGGTCTTAAAAAGGTAAAGCTTTTTTGATCTTACCACTTCTCTTTTCAAAAGCTGAGCTGATAAACAGTAGTGGTGTGTGCACTTCTCCTTCTGAAGAACCACCATGACTACCTGTTTCAGACATCCCATGATCCCCACAAACAACAAGCAAATTGGGCAGAGAAGGTTCTTCCTGCAAGCCACAAAAATAAATTTAAGTTACTGTACTAACAAGATGCATATATATAATGCTTCTATGCCTTTTAACATCTTCACACATTAATATTTCTCAAAATAAATTGGTTTTTTTAACTGGCTCACACCTGGGCAGATTACAAGAGACGTCTGCAACTAAGTGTTATGGAGTAATATTTTAAGACACACATAAGTATCTAACAACTGTCAGGATGTTAAAAAAAAATAAATTTAAAAACTCCTCATTTAGACTCACAAGACACTGGCTGAAGGATTAAATAAAGGCCATCATTCTATGGGAATAAAATCAGGAGTCCATGAGCAGTAGCATTAACAGAAAAACATTCCTCCCTTCAACTTCTTCAGATTCATTGAGTTTTCTATAGACTATAAACACCAAATTATTAATATTGCAAATATTAATATAATAGAAATGTAAAATAAAAAGCAAGTCTTATATCTAATAGTCTGTAGCCTCTCAAATGCTTTGGGGATAGAAATCTGACCTGAGTGATGTCAAATGATGTTTATTTTCTGAAGAAAGAGAAACAGAAGCATGAGGCCTGTCAAACAATTTTGAACTAACAAATTGAAGGCAGCAGAAAACAAATTTTGTCCTTCTGTAACAGAGCAGCTTTTTCTCATCTCTGGTTATTACCAGTACCTGTTGTATCCAAAAGTAAAGCGTTTTCATTATTTCTGTATTCTGGAATTGAGATAAAGGCTTGGCAAAATCAAAACACACTAACAAACTGCAGCAAACCCACTGCAATGTTCATGAGACTAACTTCCACAAGCAGGACTTAACCTGTCTTTTCATACAATAGTACTGTTTTGTCTGAAAATACTATCAACATTTTATGAACAGCTCTTCTGAATTGTAGTTGCCAAAAAAAAAAGAAAAAAGCTTCAGGCCACTTGGAATTAGGACTTAGTATTTCAACATCCAGACTATTTAGGTAAGTGAATCCTTTATTTCCAAATCTAAAAACAGATTCAGATTTGGTAATTTATGTGCTATATTTTGCATAAGAAAAATACTGTTCACAACCATTTCAATTTGAGTTTTTTTAATACCTAAGAATAAGGTATGCCTTCAGAACTGTAGAAATCAGAGCCATGAGCTATACATGCCCATTAATCCTTCTGCTGAATTTTATTAGGAGAAAACACACCAACTACCATTTTAATTCACGAGTGATAAAAGAATTTTGGCATGCATTCCTCTCCTCTTCCTGCACTCTGAGGGGGAGTTCTTTCCCACAGCAACTCAGAAGAGACTGTTAACAGATGTTACTAAGGTCAACCTGTAAATCCTTAAAAAAGCCACACTATACTATTAACTGGGGAATGGCCAGGGAAGGAAAAGACTAAAAGAATACCTGCTTTGGTCTGGGACTAAACAAGCTACCAAACACAAACAACCAAGTATTTTAAAGTCAGTCCACAACCAACAGACATTGATCCAAGAAGGTGATATATTACGTTTAAAAGAAGAGAAATATGGATCTTCTTCAAGATGTTATCCATTTCACGAAGCTTTGGTCCCACTAATGGGCTGTTTGGCCCAGTCATGTGTCCAATATGGTCCAATCCCAGGTAATGCAGTATTAGGAGATCCCAGTCTTCTCTCTTTAACACTCTATCCAAATGCCTGGTAACATTATCATCAACCTCAGGAAAAAAAAAAAACAAACAGGAAAACAAAAGGTAAAAGTAATTTCCCTCTTGTAAAAAGTACAGAAAAAGTAGATCATGTTATCAATAAGAATTTTGTAGAAGCTAATGAGAATTCTAGTCACTCGCAATGTTAACAAGGAAAAAAAAAATTACTAGTTCAATGCCAGACAGTCAAAAAAATCTGTCTTACAAAACAGATTCTTCATCCCATTTCACTCTTTTCTGGTTATGAGGCATCAGATCACATACAAAATGAAAAAACGGGTTGTTCCACAGGCACTTTTAAGAACTGTTTCAATAAATTTTCAGTCTCTTGCATCCTTCACACTTCTGATTTCTCACTTCACAAGATGTAGATACAGGAAAAAGTCTCTTTGGCACTTGGAAGAACAGGGAAAAAAAACCACTTCTGCTCTTTCAACCCAATTTTTGCTACTAAACATACACAAAAAGATAGTACTTGCTGTGAGAAAAAGAACTAATGCCATAACAAGAAGGGGTGCAGAAAAATTATTACCATGGTCTTCCAAAGGACAGACTTCAACCAGTTTAGAACACTGGTTGAGGAAGTCCCTTGGGATATAGTCCTAGAGGGCAAAAGGGTCCAGGAAGGCTGGGGGCTTTTTCAAGAAGATTCTCTTTGGGGCACAGGAGCAGGCTGTCCTCATGTGTCATAAGGCAAGCTGGCAGGGAAAACAACAGTCAGGGCTGATCAGGGAGCTTTGGCTGGAACTCAAGAGTTAGAAGAGAGTCTACAGCCTTTGGAAGAAGGGGCAGGCTACTCAGGAAGAGTGTAGGGATTTAGTTAGGTCAGGTACAAAAAACATTAGTGAGGCAAAAGCTCGGCTGGAACTCAGCCTGGCCTCTGCTGCAAGGGATAATAAAAAGTGTTCTTACAAACATGTTAACAACAAAAAAAAGGATGACAGAGAACCTCCAATCTTCATTAGATGCGAGGGGGAACACAGTTACCAAAGAAGAGGAAAAGGCTGAGGTACTTAATGCCTTCTTTGCCTCATTCTTTAATAGTTGGTCCAGTTATCCTCATGATATTCAGTCCCCTGAACTGGAGGATAGGGATGGAGATCAGAATGATCCCTCATAATCCAGGAAATAGCAGTGAAGGACCTGCTAAGCCAACTGGACACCCACAAGTCTATGAGGCCAGATGAGATACACCCGCGAGTGCCCATAAGTCTATGGGGCTGGATGAGATCCATCCAAGAGTGCTGAGGGAGCTGGAGGAGGAAATTGCCAAGCCTCTCTCCATCATTTACCAGCAGTCCTGGTTAACAGGGAGGTCCTGGATGACTGGAGACTTGTCAATGTGACGCCCATCTACAAGAAGGGCAGGAAGGAGGATTCAGAGAACTACAAGGTCTGTCAGCCTGACCTCAGTACTGGGCA